TTGGGTCCCCATGCATGGAATCTCATGATCTGAGTTGATATAGTTCTGCGTATTGGTCTACTATAATCCTACCCATTAACAACCATGCAGCAAGTGTTAGGGTCAGTCAATTCCTAGAGAACCTTGGTGCTATATAACTCCGGATGGAGAGAGATGCTAGAGGGGCAGAGACACCACTTTCTAAGATGTGGACCATACTCTTACTGGTCTATATGCTTTGATTTTTCAGATTCAAAAAGGTCATGCCATAATAAACTTTTCATCTTTGCAATAGATATCACTGATAATGGTACTGTGAAAGATCCAGAATAGCTATAAGGTTAATTCAAGTGTGGGACAGGTTTATTTAAAGGTCTATACTATCCTATGTTCAAGTCTTGTATCATACTTGAAATTAATTTCTGACCAGTTGTAACAGTAGTTATATGTATAATGGAGAAGAACAAGCAATTACATAGATAAAGAATCATAAGGAGCATACCACCTCTTAGGGGGGCCCCTCTGTATGCTTCCTACTTTCGTCTCATCAGTGATCCAGTACCTCTAAGTAAGTTATTAGAAGATGGGAATAACAGGATATATGCCATATATACAGGTGTGTAGGCTGTCTAAAAATATGTGTGTCTTTCGGAGCTATAATGGATGTACAATTGACTATGACACAACTTAGATCATGGTTATCTATGCATTCCTCACCCAGATATCAGGGCCTCATTGTGCTGGATAAAGTTTGAAACAGAAAAACCCACAGAAAAATGATATAACAGTATATTTGACCATATCAAGACAATATGACCACCTACCTACTAATGTAACAATCATCTGAATGCATGGAGAACTTGTAGAGATAGAGCTAAATTAATAAGTCTGATGCACAATTATTGGATAGTATGGATATACTGATAAGATCATATTGACAGGGATATTGACCCTACCAGTTACGTATCCTTAGTAGAACTTCAATCAGCTCTGTAGCCACCCTAGTTATTGAGATATCATTTTATCAGTAATAGATTAGCTAGTGATTGGCTAGTGTAGACACAACTAATTAAATGCCACTATAGGTGACTTAATATAAGTTGTTTATATAGATAATATAGACAACTTTGGCTTTGTGACAATCTGTGACATTCTGTAATGATTGCATCCTCAAATCACGGCAATTTCCTTTTTTGGAAACTTGTCATGTGTATCATGTTATGTTACAGTATATAACCACATGATATAGTCACTGAAACTACCAGCTGTAGTCTCTATTGATGAAAGTTCCTTTTTGGGACACTGTGTAACATGTCACATAGTATGACTCTGGGAGAGTTGGCCTAGATGGTCCATGTCATATTATTGACCTTTATTCACCCCCTATATACTAGCAAAAAATTGGCCTTAGACTTCACCCACAGTGGGAGGGTGTTCCACATACCCTGTCAGGAAGCATGCTGGGTGTAGCCACCTGCGGTGGGTGCTACCTTGCCTTCTTAGGCAGGTGTGGGCATGACCACATGCCTGATGATGGGATCACCCATGGACGCTGGCCGGAAACCGTCTGGGTGATCCCATCAGATATGGGTGATGCCCTCCGCTTCCAGTAGGTGTTCCGGGGTATGCCTACATTAATAGGTGGATACACCCACACCTGTCCCATCAGGCATGATTGGGTACACCATGGGGGGGTTCAAAGGAGGTGTTTGGATGTACCTAATCAAGCCTTGGGCGTTGCCCATGTTGAACATGCCGTCGGCATCGCGTGGTATATGTGTCGATGCTCAGCATCTGCACCCGGTGTAGTCAGTAGTGTCTGGACCTTTATAGCATACCTTGTTGGCTGCATAGCGTGATATAAGGGTACTGACTGTGGACGACAAGGGCTTGCAAAGCTTTTTTATTATTATTTGATTCGGTCGACCGGGAGGCAGACCCAAACCCTCTAGCTGATCATCTTGCAACACTTTGTTGACTGAAATGGTTCTATTCCGTGGTCTTTGTGTTAGAGCAGAGAATACCTTTCTATCTACTTATGCTAGTGACTCTATAGCCATCTAGACCCCCCCCTAGCCCAGAGCCCTAAACCCCCCCTACATACCATCCCCCCCACACACTGATCAAAGTTATTTCCCCATCCCCTAATCACCATAATATATTACCTTAGACTAGTCAGACCATTTACATAATTTTTTATATCTTTCCCACAAGTATACAGCCCAGAACGAATTTAATATCATTTGCTCAGGATGGGTGAACCACAGGCACTAAACAGCGGGTGTGATGTGACAGGGGGTGGAGACACCCATAGTGATGGGAACAGCCATAGCATGTGGGTTAAACCCATGCAGGTGAACCTCTTAGGTTAGAAGTCAGGGGGGGGTATTTAACCCTAAGAGGTTTGGGGGGGTGGTAGCCTGAGGTGGATAAAGAGTCTGGCTCAATTCTCATCAATCAGCATCGCTACTTAGTCAGTGTCCTAGAACGCTTTGGTATGATGGATAGCATCCCCATAGATACACCCTTTGCACCAGGAGTTGTTATTACGGAGAACAAGGAAACTTGTGATCCCAAAACACATACTCTGTTTCAACAGATGATCGGTTCACTTCTTTATGGCATGCTTGGCTTGCAACCAGACATTGCCTATTATGTCATACGTCTAGCTCTAAACATCATTTAAAGTTAGCCCGGGATATAATGCGGTATCTCCGAGGCACACTTGATTACAATATCAAGTATGATGGGAAATCCAAAAGTGGTTTGATTGGTTTCTCCGATGCAGACTGACCGGTTATGTTACACTCCTTGCCAATGGTGCAGTTACGTGGGTCTCCCGCCGCCAGGCCACTGTGGCCCTCTCCTCTACTGAAGCGGAATACATGTCTGAGAGTGACGCTTCTCGTCATCTCTGTTGGCAGCAGATGTTTTTGACAGAGCTTGGATTCGAGCCTCCACCCATCCCGCTGTGCGTGGATAATCAGGGTGCTATATTCTTGGCTTCGAATCCTACTCATGATTGCCGTACCAAACACATCGACATGCGCTATCATTTCATTCATGAAAAAGTCGAAGACGGTGTTATCGAGACCTATCATATTCCATCGGAGGATCAAGTTGCTGACATCCTGACAAAGTCTTTGAGTTATGACACGTTCTCAAAGTTTGTTCCTTTGCTCGGGATCGTTGAGTACTGACCCATTTCCTTCAATTAGGCCGGTCACGGTCACATAGGATTTTTTGGCCGAAATATTTCGGCGGGTCACGGGTCACAGCCAAATCTTTTGGTCCCAAAGTGTCCCAATTAGGATGATTTTCAAATTTTCCGCACCTGCGGCGCGCCGAATTTCCTAATCAGGTAATAGGTCACGCGAAATTCGGCCGCAGGCCGAATTGAACATTTTCGGCCAAATGGTCACGGGTCACAGGCCTGCTGAATTGATCGAAATAGGTCAGTATACTGGTTGAAGACGTATATGTCTTCTGGGGGTGTGTTGAAGTTGAAGTCATATCTGCTTACCATACTTGCACATGACCGCTTGGTAAGGACTGAATACTCGCTCAGTCATCCTCTACCTTTACTTACTCATCGTACTTATAAATTGTAGTCAACGTAGTGTAGTCAGCATAGCTAGCCTGAGTATATATACTGAGTAGTCTAGCTCGTCATCTCTCCAGTCCTGTTGTTATTTACACAGTTCTGGTGAGTTACTGACATGCTTTCCTCTAGCTTACATATGCTTATGACTCTATGTAGATTGTCAGGTATATACTCAATCCAGTCCTGTTGTTATTCACACAGTTCTGATATCGTCTTGTCAGTTTTTATCTTTATTATTCCCATCACAACTCGACCCCCAAACACTTAATCATCTGTTCTTATGTTCATTCGTTCAAAGCGATCATCGCCAACTTGTCCCCTTGCATAGTTTCATCATGATCCGTTGGCTGATTTCCACCCTACGCCTGAAAACCAAGATCACCAACTCAAGTGCCTACACAAGGCTTGCACCAACCACGGTCCACGCACCCGTTCACAGCGTATCGGAAGCTCACCCTAAACCTGCATGCGCCTCGTTCGTCCCGAGGCCGAGCCCTTTGCCTGCTAGTCCTGCTCCCCCATGTTTTTTATCTGCCCTCCTGAGCTCCCAATTCCGTGACTCGCCACTGAAAGTGAGGAAACCAAGTGCCCACACAAGGCTCGCACCGCCCCCGGTCCACGCACCCCATCCCCAGACATTCTCTATGACCTACACCCGCGTGCGCCTCGTTCGTCCCGGAGGCCGAGCCCGTAAACCATATTTCGCAAATCACATTTCGCAAATCACACTTTTTATCCCTTCCTCACCAAATTTGCAAAAGAACTCCCCACAGCAACAGAAAAACATCCTCGAATAAAAGCTACGCTACCTACTACGTGCCTACAAACATGCAATAAATCATCATGATCACCAATCAGTCCCAATAAAGATATGTTTTTATTATGCTGCTGTTCTTCCTAATTCCGTGACTGAAAGTGAGCAAACCAAGTGCCCACACAACGCTCGCACCGCCCGCGGTCCACGCACCCCATGCCCATCACGTCTGAGAAGCACTGTCCACCCGCGTGCGCCTCGTTCGTCCCGAGGCCGAGCTGTATGCCACATCAACACTATGTTTTTATCCCCCCTCCAGTCGTCCAACCACCCAAAAGCAAAACAAAAATCATCCTCGAATAAAAGCTACTACGCGCCTACGAACAAAAAGACATATATCACAATATGCAATAAACTAATCACCAATCAGTCCGAATAAAAGTCCAAGCCGTCTCATCATCGCTCATCTCATCGCCGTCCATTAAAAGGGTCGTCTGCTATCATCGCTCGTCGCCTCTCGTCGCGCTCCGTCACGGTCTAGTAGTATAAGCATCTCCACTTCGCGGGCACCATGGGTGGGGGGATAATCGGGGGCAAGGGTGGGGGGGATAAGTGTATAGTGTAAGAGTTTTCGATAAAGGTTTAGTGGTTAGGGTTGTCGGCCTAGGGCTCCTCGGCGGGGGGCGACGGCGAGCGGGACGGCGGCGACGGCGAGCGCGAGGGCGGGAGCATCGGCGGCGCGCTGATTATTGAAGGGGCGCGCACGCGGCGCGGGGCTTGGGGCAGCGACGGCGGGGTGGGCCGGCGGTAGGTCTGCGGGGCGGGGTCAGCGTCTGTGCTCAGTGGGCAAATTGAAAGGAGAAAGGGCGGGAGGAGGGCGGATGGGGATAGATCGTATCAGGAATGGAAGATAGAAGTTAAGAAGCGATAAGCGATCGCCGAGCGGCGCCGAGGCCGAGGCTCCCGAAGGTCGACGTGGCGCATTCGCAGGCCAGAGACGAGGGGTGGGAGGTGGTGGGAGAGAAGGAAGGCAAAGGGAGTGGGTGTGGGGACGGTACCGAGCGGTACCACGCCCAGGAATAGAGTGCGATAACGGCTATGAAAGAAAGCGAAAGAAAGCAGCAAGAAAGAGGGAAAATGCGGAAAGAGAGCAGGGGAAAAGAAAGACGACGCACATGCCTGCTCATGATGAGCTTCGCCATCGACGCGGGGGTCTGGGTCTCGTAGATCGCCGGCACTGAAACACAATCAGCACACAGCCCAGGGACACATTACATACCATCGTAGCCAGCCAGCCAGCAGCGAGCCAACCAGCCAGCCACGAATGGAAAACAACACCCACCTGGTGTCTCCACAGCCAACGCCGTCTCCTTGCGGGTGCTGAACCCCACGCCCCTTCCGCCGCGGTACACGTATCGGCCCCGCATAACCGGCGGCGGGGGCGGGTGGAGCGTAATGGGGAGGGCCTCTGCAAGGCTGAGCGGCGGCAAACTCGCGCGCAGCCGGAACAGCCCGTTCCACCAGCGGCCTTTCGCGGGCCCTTGCTGGGCATGGCCGTTCGCATCGGCGGGCACCGGGGACGGGTGCGCCTCCTGCGCCTGCTTCTCCTTGGCGCCGGGGCCGCTCGGGACGGCCTTCGGGCGGAACCGGGCGAGGGCGAAGGTAGCGACAGCGACGGCGGCGCGAACAAGGAGGACGAGCGCGAGGGCGAGCACGAGAGCTGCGGGCCACGAGCGGAGGAGCGGCCCGGCGGAGTGCGCGGCGAGGTGCGCGAGCGGCTGCGGGAGCGCGGCGGCGGCGCCGTGGGCGGGCAGGATGAACATCGCTCCGAGGGATGGGCTGACGACGAGGGCGAGGGCAACGGGGCGAGGCGTGACACCCCGGCTATAGCTATATAGGGTATAGGACCTGATTCCGATCCCTGATGGCTATTCAATGATTGGTCATGCCGCGAGTTCGCCGTGTGGTAATCGTGCCGTGTCGTCCAGGGTCGGACGCGGACGGCGGAGGATGCTCGCTGCACCGTCGGGCCTTGTGTGCGGCTTCGGACGATGGGCGGCTCGACGTAGCGGTGGAGCTGGCGGGGCTGATGTGTCATCATTGCTGACATCACCGATCTACGATCCCCGCGGTGTTTCTGCGGTGGTGCAGGGCACCGAATGCGTTTCACCCGCTCAACGAGGGTGCAAAATTCAAATAAAAACTTCCCGCGTATTTTTCGCCACGCCCCGCCCCGGCACGAACCAGGATCCCGAACTGCAATGAAGGGGATGAACAGGCAACGTAAATTCGGTGGCTACGCCGGCGGCCTGCGGGCTCTCCGGACTCTGTGGTGCAGGTAATTATGTATCTACTTCCATCAATATCATGCTGAGGGTCATCATGCGGCCCCACAGCTGCTGTAAGTCTTCTCTCACCTTATAAGTGCACATGCACAAGGAGGGATAAGAGACTGGGACAATCTAATGACCACAGAAAAATGTTCAAACCCCAAGGTTATCCACCAATAAACAGCAGTACAAATGGACCAAACTGTATACCCTTCAGAATTACTTTGCACTGCCCTGGTGAACAAGCCTTGACTTCAATAAGTACATTTCCAGTGATAAAAAACAATAATTAACTAGACTTTGGACTCGGAATTGTAATCAGAGTAACTACATATACTACTACTCAGTTGAAAGGTTGGGATACTGGACGCACGCACGACTTCTTGATCCATTCTTGCCATCATACGATCAACGGTAGTTACCGCATTAGCTGTTACAGGAGGGTAGCTCTTACTTCTCTACCACCAACTGTAACCTAAACCTACGTGTTTTCAACAAATACGACAAGTTAAAGTTCTATCGTGGTCCTTGAAGTAAGCGCCCTTTTACTTTTTTGAACTTACCTTGCGTTAGAAACGAAACTACGACGCGACTTGAGCGCGTCTAACAATCCAGTACCCGTCCTCCATTACCCACTCAGAGTCGCGCTCAGAAATGTCTAAACGAGCACCATCCCAACCCCCCAACACTCCTTGACGGTCTAGTCGTCATCTTCCGAAAGAAGAAGCAAGTCTGCCGACTGGACGCGTAGAACGTGACGCGCCGTGGGTCAACTCCTCAGCAGTTGTCAACCCATAGTGACTCGTACGAGCAACCGAGTAGTGCGGGACAACCGCACGAATACGGCACGGACAGTTTTGGGTCCACGCTGACGTCGATAAACTCACGCGAGCACAGCTCAGAACAAGTCTTGCCAACGAACATGGACAACTCTGCTGAGGCGATAGTTGGAACAATGGCAGCAGAGCCTCCGTTTATTGCTCCAGTTGCGAGTAGCGAATGGAGACCAAACCCAATGGGTCCGTTTGCCATACAGCGCACACCATCAGTACTCGCGCGCATAAATGCGGGTGACCAAATGGCTATTGTGAATGCGATGGCGCAGCAGCATAATCGGAGAGCAAGGGTTGACGAAGTCTCAGACCATTCGGTGTCACCCAGGTTGGGACCATCGTTGTCGTTGGGACAGTCGACGCAGGCACCGCCGCAAAGACTGTACCCGGCCGCTAGGTTTCAGTCACCGATGCCGCCGCAAATGGACTTCAGCTACTCACAATTGTCACCAATGTATAATGTTAATAATACACCGTACACGCTTACGGGATCTGAAATGTACCATACTCCTCATTCATCGATGAATTGGAACCCATATCCACCACTGGTCAACCCATGGGGTCCAGGCTATCCTCCACCACATCCTTATCAACCAATCCCCGTCATATCATCGTATGGTGGCCCAATGTCGACGCCATGGGCAGGACCAGCTGGGTCAGCAAGCAATGTCCCCAGGCCGCCCTCGCAACAATCGATGAGCGAAGGCACGCGACAACGGCGCCGAGAGGAAAAACGACGTGCAGTGGTGTCATCGGGAGGATCCACCTCACCCCCGCTGTCGCTTCCAGATAAGTTGAAGCGTAACAGTCATGAGGATGAGATCCTAAAAGCTGCGCATCAGTATCTGCTCAACTACAATCCCGAGAATACCTCGGATGACCTGGTTACGGTTCAGCGTAAAATGGCAGCGCGAGAGCGTATTCAGGCTCAAATTGCAGCTGATGCGGAGTTAGCCAGGGCGATTGACGCAGAAGAGCAGGCGCAGCAAAGCTTTTGGAAAGTAGACAGCGAAAAGGCCGATGTCTATACTGAAGCAAGACGCGAGCCGACGGTGATTGAAATTGAGGACAATACACAAACCATTGAGCTAGAGAAACTGGCCAAGGAATATGAAGCGGCCGTAGACAAGGTGCATAAAAAATACAGCCCAATTGTACCATCAGTCCCGGCAGGTCGCAACTTGAGAAGTAGAGTGAATGTGGATCCAGAGGGTGACCGTAAGCCCGGCGGAACCTAACTGGGCCCCGACCTCATTTGAAGATCGAAAAGCATTACAGCAGTTCGCTGACGCAGCAGCTCGCGATCCAAATTCGAATATGCGCTACCCTGATCAAGGGCTTCGTCTAATAGATGGCAAATGGGTTGACATTAGAATCCCGAAATATGCTCACCTCGCTGACCCGAAACACGAGCCACTGCCTGATGCAAAGCCGTCAGGGCATAAAATGGATCGGCCAGTGAAGAAGAAGGCTGCAAAAGGACCACCAGGTCCGGGAGATGACTCCGGAGGCTCGTCTTCGGACGATGACAACAGTGGTGGGAAGAAAGGTCAACCAAATAAGCCAAAAATTGCAGCAGGCGGGCCGAAAATACCCGTTGGAGGCAATCGCGCACCCTACAGCGGGAACCCGTTTTTGTGGGAGGATGAGGAGAAGCTACTAGCAGCATATAAATTGCGTCATACCAGAGAGATGGTATCACGAACGACTATATCCGCGTTCGACGTGGTTGGGGGAGTTCCTTCCGAGCAATTGCACGACTGGAAAATCGTGATGAACTCAATGGTGTATCGCAACTGGCAGGAAAGTCTGCAGCTACCCTGCAAGAGTGCAGTGGTTCTGGACGAGGTACGCGGGCTGAAACTCCCTCAACCCACTAGCTACAGCGGGTCCGCAGACGTGTTGCAGTTCGAAGAACATATGAAAAGCATGCTGCGACACTTCAAGATGCTTGGGATGGCAGGTCCTTCGTGGGATACCCAGTGCACCGACATGTATGGATTATACCTAAAAGGATCAGCCAAGTTGTTCTACGATGATGAAGTGACAGGCATTCACCGTACAACTCGAAGCTGGTATTTCGTACATGTGCTTGCTGCGATATTTGATCGATTTGTATCGTCTACGGCAATACAGCAGTCAGCCAAGGCGTTTGACAAGATAACCTGGAATAGTGAGCTTGGAGTGGATGGACTGTACAATGAACTCACCTCCAACGTTCGTCGGATGATTTTCCCGCCGGATGCTCACTCAGTCAAGCGGAAGTTTTTGGCTACAGTGCCTGCGAAGATGCGCGGATTGATGTTAGCGCGCAATGCATACCCAGAGATTTGTTCCCTTGAGAACATGAAAGATATTGGCCGTATTGTAGAGCATGGAATGAACACCATGAATTTCTACAGTGAAAATACCGTTAAATTAGCGGGAGATTCAAAGGAGAAAAGAGACTCACCTCGCATGGCTGTTGTTCAAGATGCTGAAGATGGGGACGACGATTCTAGCCAACGAATGGCTGCGATTGACCAGAATCGACAGCGTCCGTTCATCCCGTTCAGGAAGAATGGGGGAGGGTATCAGCAGAAAAAACAGAATGAGCCGGCAAGAGGAGTCGATGAGAAACGAGAGGATAGTCCGAGAGAGAGACAGAATAATAGGAATTTTGGACAACGGCCTGCGGCGCGAGTTTATGCGAGCAGCCCATGTAGATGGTGAAGGCGCGGATGACGAGCGACTGAATCCAGCAGAGGAGGAAGTTGAGGCCAACGAAGAAGAAGGAGATCATGTGACTCCGGACGAGCAGCCGGAGGAAGACTCCGAAAAGGCGGAATACAACTCAGACTACACATATGAAGAGGTATCTGACCATTCAGAGGATGAAAACTTGATTGCATGCTATCATATGCAAACAGCACGATTGAGAGATGAGGATGATTGCCCCGAACTACAGCAAGTATCCGACTCAGAAGAGGAAATTGATGAGACCGAGGATACGAATGACTGTCCTCCGCTATTGGAGGTGTCCGACTCTTCCGGTGAAGAAGATAACGGATATGAAACTGCCGACGAGAGCCCAGATGAGACGAGTGACAATGACTCAATTGCAGATTTGGAGGACGAGGAAATCGACGTGTTTGCACGTGCAATACTCACGCATATGGAGGATAGGCAGAACAGTTTCGAAGATTCACTTGAGTACTTCTCGAGACTGGATTCACCTAGAACGGCGACAGCTACAGGAACTCGTCGAGTGCCGCTAAAACGAGCAAAGGAAGCCCACGAACGACCCAGTCGAGCTAAACGCGAAAATCATTGTCTCACTGCATTTGTGAATATCAACGGCCAACAGGCGTTCACGCTGTTTGACTCAGGGTGCACAACTGAGGCAATAAGCCCGGATTTTGCTAGAATTGCTCGGGTAGAAGTGTTCCCAATTCAGTCGCCAGTGGTATTGCAGCTTGGTACAGCGGGTAGCAAAGCGAAGATCAATCATGGCACGTTTGTGAAAGTGCAATATGGTCCACTGCGGTCGGAACAATATTTCGATATTGTGAATCTTGATCGATTCGACGCGATTATTGGCACTAAGTATATGCGTGAGCATAAAATCTCGCTGGACTTTGAAATGGATACCGTGCGTATTCAAGGACAACCCAGCCCAACGTTGTCGGAGCGGGATGAACGTGATGTTATCGAACGACGGGCATCCGCTTGGTTGGCCAGCCCAAACCGACAATGACTCGGGGGTGCAGAGAATGTTGTCTCTGCAACCCCAACTGCGGGTGATCCAAAGGCCCCGCATCGCCGACGAGGACATCGTGCAATGGTAGAAGAAGTAGTTGATGAAGAGACGTTTGCCGCATTAGAACGAAAATTTCTACCCCAGGAGTGGGTAAGTCCATTAGAAGAATCAGCAGTTGTAGACGCACAACTAGCTGCGCAGAATACCGAGCTGGTATACGAGTTCTCCCGATATTACATGCCAAAGGCAGAGAACCCAAAATCAAATCCAATTGACAAGGCATTTAACCGAGCGCCGCCTCAGCCAAAGGAAGGCAAGCCCGAACCACCACTGCCTCCAGAGCAGAGAGCGCCGACAACGAGGGCTAATCGCCAGCCATCTACTCAGAACCTGAAGCTGAGAAATGACATGACGGAACGACTTACCGAGATATTTACGCGAGCAGCGGCAGTGCAAGTCGAGGAATGCGCTAAAACAGGGTCGTTACCCACCGAAGAAGATATTCCCGCAATACGAGACAGCTGGTTACAGATCAGCGAAGACATACTCAGACGCGAGTCAGCACACCCACGGTTAAAGAGGATGGACAGACACCACGGGTATAAGCCGCCACAAAATGGTCCATTGTTGGCAGAGGATATTCCTAGGTTACGCGCTCAATGGATGTCGACCAATGAGGACATCATGTCGGGATTACCAGAGGAGATGCCTCCGCTAAGGAAGATCAACCACCGAATCAACCTGATTGACGAAAACAAGGTGTACCATTACCACCTGCCCCGTTGCCCAGATGCATTAAAACCCCAGCTGTTGGATAAAATCAACAAGTATGTGCGAGCTGGATGGTGGGAGCCGGTGCAAACAGATCAAGCGGCTCCCATGCTGTGCATTCCGAAAAAGACAGGCAAGCTGCGAACAGCAATTGATGCTAGAAAGCGCAATGAAAATACGCTCAGAGACGTGACACCGTTCCCGGACCAGGATCAGATTAGACTGGACTGCGCCTGAGCCAAGTATCGGTCGAAAATTGACATGAGCGATGCTTACGAGCAAATTCGAATCGTGGCGGAAGACGTCTGCAAAACTGCGTTCGCCACAATCTATGGCACATACGTCAGTAATATTATGTAAATCGGAGACTGCAATGCACCAGCGACATTCCAACGGATTATGACTATGGTTTTCCACGAGTTTATTGGTCGATTCGTGCATGTTTACTTGGATGATATCTTTGTGTTCTCTGATTCCATTGAGGAGCATGAAGAACACCTAAGCAAAGTGTTTGGTACTCTCCGGTCCAACAAATTCTATCTCAAGAAAGAGAAATGTGAATTATATGCTGAAAAGCTAGACTGCCTTGGACATGTCATTGACGACACAGGAATACACGCTGATGCTGATAAAATGAAAACTATACGGGATTGGCGAACACCGCAGAATTACCATGAAGTACAACAGTTTCTCGGACTGATTCAGTACTTGGCCCCTTTTTTACCAGATATCAGTGCGTATACAGGACCACTGTCGGGAATGTGCAGGAATGGTACTCCATTTACGTGGCATCCCATACACCAGTCCTGCTTTGACTCCATCAAAACTATTTGCTGTCGCACGCCGGTGCTGAAGCCTATCGACCCAAACATCGATGAACCCATCTGGGTCATTTGTGATGCATCGGTGTCGGGAGTGGGTGCGGTTTACGGTCAGGGTCACAATTGGCAGGACTGTCGACCTGCAGGGTTCATGTCCAAAAAGTTCACGTCCGCGCAACATAATTATCGCGTGTTTGAACAGGAAACACTCGCCGTGTTGGATGCTCTGCTAAAATGGGAAGATAAGTTAATGGGATATCGGTTTCATGTGGTCACGGACCACAAAGCATTGGAGTTCTTTCATACGCAGCGCAATTTGTCGCCACGCCAAGTGCGTTGGATGGAATACCTGTCTCGCTTTGACTTTGACATTCGGTACATCAAAGGAACGTTAAACAAAGTGGCAGGTGCGCTGTCCCGATACCATGAGACAGATGACTGGAGCGTGGAGAAATGTGAGTTTGCAAATGCAGACATCCGACTTGACCCAGATATGGATCACCTACCATGGGATCGAAGCCAGGAAGTTGTTGAGCTGAGAGCAATGGCTGAGCCCGATAGAGCCAGGCGAAGTCAACGGCTTCGAGAGCGTGAAGTGCAACAGGGAATTGAGAAACATGATGAGGAGGCTGAGAAATTGGTCGAGCCGCAGAGCCGTGATGAACACAGGCATAAGACAGCACCGAAAGACAACCCTACCGTGTTCTAGTCGAGAGCGCGTGAGGAAGTGGTGAATCAGCCGTTGCAACTTGACAACGGGCTACTGGCCATCATCAAGGCTAGTTATATACACGATCCGGTATTCCAAAAAGTGTTGAAGGCGCCGAAGGAGTTTCATAACTTCTGGGTCAAGAATGGGGTGATTTATATGAAGAACCGTGGTGGTGAAAATGTTGTATGCATCCCGAAAGCCAAAATGGGGGAGAAATCAGTGCATGGACTAGTTCTGGAGCAAGCACACCAAATATTGGGACACTTAGGTCCACAGCGGACAGGCGACTACATTCGACGGTGGTACTGGTGGCCGTCGATGACGAAACAAATTCATGCATTCTGCTCCAGTTGTCATACATGTCAGACAACAAAAACCGAGAATAAACGGCCACTGGGAAAGATGCACTCACTGCCAATACCTAATAAGCCGTGGCAGTCAATATCGATGGACTTTCTTGGTCCTTTTCCACAGTCGGAGGATAGCGACTATCTATGGGTTGTACTGTGCCGTTTGACCAATATGGTGCACTTGATACCAATCACGACTCGGATGAGGGCAACAGAACTGGCCGAGTTATTTGTGCGTGAGATCGTAAGGCTACATGGCCTTCCCGAGTCTATAGTGTCGGATCGAGACCCGAAATTTACATCTGTGTTTTGGCGAGAAGTACACCGACTGCTCGGAGCAAAATTGCTAATGTCGACTGCATTTCACCCTCAGACGGATGGAATGACCGAACGTGTCAATCGAACAATCGCGCAGATCCTTCGAGGGCTGATAGCGCCTGACCAGAAAAACTGGAAGGCCAAAACCACAATGACTGAATTCGCCATTAATGCAAGTGTGTGTGCGTCAACAGGCTACGCACCTTTTGACCTTAATTATGGGTACATGCCCGCAATGATTCGACAGATCCGAGCAGAGACTGTTCCAGCGGGAGTACGCGCATTCGCTGAAAGAGCATTATTGAATCTTGCTGAGGCACACAACTCAATAATTGCCGCGCGCGCGCGTATTCAACACCTATCAGATGAACAAACATCGAGGGGAGGAACCGATAATTGAAGAAGGTGCAATGGTTTACTTGTCGACCAAAAACTTAGCATTGCCTAAGTCACGGGCATCGAAATTGCTGCCTAAGTTTGTGGGCCCATATAGAGTGCAGCGAGCAGTTGCACACACGTCGAATTACGAGCTGGAATTACCTGCCGTGTTAGCTGAGCGTGGAGTTCATAACCGATTTCACATAAGCTTGTTGCGACCATACATCGCAAGCTCTGATGACATGTTTCCAGCAAGAGATAAGCCAGAGGCATACGATTTTGGAGCCTCTGATGAGTCGGAAGTGATGGTAGACCGCATCAGGGCCCACCGATGGACGATGGCTGGTAAAGTCGAATTTGAGGTGTGCTGGAATGACAGTGATATAACCTGGGAGCCGTTCCAGGCTGTAAAATTGCTTGTTGCGTTGGATGACTACTTTGCACTACACGGAGTCAAGTCGTGGCGCCAACTGTCAAAGGCAGGAAAGAAGCATGGGGGAGCAGCCGAAAAGAAGCATTAGGTATCAACCGAGGAGCAAAATTGTCGGTTCCTGTGCTTAGTTTGCTTCTTACCTTCATCTTCGACTGTTTTCCCTCTTAACTTCATCTTCGAGCGACGACCCAACACTCAACCCAGACTGCCCGCTACTGCGAGCTTGCCGAGACTATGAACGAAACGAACGAAAACCTGAATGGTACCGTGCTCAATCAAGAACTGCTCGACAAGAAAGTCGACATCGATGCAACTATGAGGGACGTGGCTATACTCGAGATCGAGGCCCACCTCAACTATGAGGTTCCCGTTTGCACTTCGCTGATGAGCGGCGACGAAAGCAGCGACACATGCACGGCATGCTCGAACTATGTGGGGCATATGACGACCCAGGACAATTTGTCCAGATTTCTGGAAGTAATCGCGAGTGGGCGAACGCAGCAGCATCTCGCCAAGGTGTATACACTCCAAGGAAAGATCGATGGACTGAAAGAAGAGAATGAGCGTATGAGAATAGAGATTACACAGGCGACAGTACGCGCCGAAATCGCTGAGCGCGAGTTAGCAAGTCATAAGGCACAGCCTAACACTATGGGAGTAATGGTGCCTATTGGCAATATGAACCAGCTGCCCGTCGGGCCAGTAAGCTCCGCCAAAATCGTCCAGATGGACACTGACGATGACCAGGAATCGGTTGCGGTGATCACCCAATGTCAACCTCAGCAGGCGCCACCATTGGTGTCCATGGCTTGGGAGAATAACCAGCACAAGACAGAGCGGGCAGCAATTAAATGGAAGACAAATGACCAGGGCTTTCCGGCGTCAATTGACGACTATCAACTTCGCTATCGCATCGCTATTTGCGTACGCAGTCATATGTGCTGCTTCACCAATGTGAAGTTATCCTCGGTCGCGCTACCAAGTGGGATGCTCAAGGGCGACCTGATAATGACATGTCGGAGGTGTATACCATGATGCTGGATAACTACGCGCCTCCTCGCTGGGCGAGCGATATCTACTTGGCAATTGCCCGCTCCAAACCTGATGATCGTCGCGCCTGGTTCGACAACATGGCGATGCCCACATTTGGGGATAACCCACGAACGCTAGTGGCTTATATGCAATTCCATAATCTCGAATTCCCTGGCTGCTCA